ATTTCCTCTAGGAAGCAAAGCTCATTTAAAACAAAACCACATTAGTCTTGGCAGGAAGCTTGAATTGTGACCATCGCAAGGAAGCTCCATTAATTACTGCTCCCATTGCTCTATGAAGGATCAAATGCTGTGGATCAGTTTTAATTGGCTATTGATTTCTTATGTTATTACCTACGGTTGTGCTGAGATGCCGTCAGACATATTGGATGCTTTTGATTATTCTTGCTGGCAGCTGGGATTAAAAACAGCGGGCACACACTTCCTGATCTGTAATGGATTGCCATGGTGTGCCAACAAAAATCGTTGGCAGGATGAATGGTCCTGCTCTGCCTGTCTCTTGTGCTATTGAGCTGCACTGCAGCTATGTAGTGAAGGCAAATACCCTCAGGGACTGGCTGCCAAGGAAAGCGAGGGAAAAGCTTCAAAGAACACGAGGATTTAGTGCCTACAAAAGTGAGTAACTGTCAGCAGCAAAGCAGGGTGAGTCAGAGTGCAAGGAGTGGTTGAGCATGGACAAAGCATTAACCCCACCAGACAGCAACCCAAGGAAAGGCAGATCAGGTTGCTTCTGCATCGCTGGGGATAAGCCCCTGACATGTCAATCACAGGGATGCCATGTGAGCAAAAACAAGCGGGACTGCGCGCATACACAATGACAGTGCTGCACACAACAGCCTGCTTATGTCCTTCCTGAGCCACATTTCTCCCTTGGAGCAGGCTTGGTGATTTCCTAAGCCTAGGCTGTGACATGCTCTCATTAGCTGGCAGAGTCACTCCTTGTTTAACAGGAGATTGTTTCCTGTCCTCCTGACCCCAAATGACACTTTAATCTACAAACACCGACTTTCTCTAATTGCACCTTGACAGAAAGAGAGACAAACCCCTCCTTCCCCCTCCGAGGACTGTCATTTAATTAACAGGCAGGTATCTCTCAGGATTTACAGCCCAGCTATAAGCTGCCAATCTCTCTAGTCAGTAGCTCAGGCTCACTCCACTTATCTTTACATTTCAATACCTGCATTTCTGCTAATCCCTCTTTAGGCCAGATTTCTGGATTTACCTCACAGAGACCTGTGGAGAGAGCAGTTAATCAAATGAACTGCCCCACCTCCCTTCTCATTCACCTCCTGGCCATGGATCTCAAGGCTCTTATGTTGTGGATGGCTTCATAGCAGAGCAATACTTATGCTGGCACTGTTGCCAGTTTCTGGTTTAATTCAGCTCTCATGTCTGTCCTGTAGTCATGACGAGATGTAGCACACATAAAAGAGAGAGAGAGAGATCAGAGTGAAAGACATTAGGGCTGGCTGGAAGAAGCATTTAGTCTGTTCCTCCTTCACAAACTGGGATCATCTCTCTGCAACCTGTTCTTGACATATGTTTTTCTAACAGGTTCTTTAAAATTTCCAGTATTGGAGACTCCTGCAAATTCCAAGCAATCCTTTTCAGAGCATCCTGCCTTCCTCTTAGATATCTGAGAACAAAGGGGAGAACAATGCTGAAAGACCATCTTGCACATCTTGCCCAGATGGATACAACTTCTGGCACACAGGGCCATGCCTTCTGTCTTTGCTGGTTTTGAGGAGCAGATTCATTTTATTTTGGTTGTATTTTTTGTTTCTATTGGTGGGTGCAGGGGCAGTAAATGATATCTGTCCATTAAGCTGTCTTTGCTGAGCATGCTGGGATCTAGTGGAGTCCAAAGAAAGCTTGTGTATTACTGCATGTGAGTGCCTGAGTCAAACCCTCTGAATTTGAATGCATGGTTCAGTAGTCTCTGGGTTAATGCTTTCCTTTGAAAGCTCAGTTTGGAGCAGATCAGACAGTTTCAGAGCATGTGCATGCAACTCAAGTGAGGATAATAATCCCCAAATGATTGGTGTGAATCCCAATTTCCATGTGCCAATTGTTCTCCTGGACAAAAGTCACTCAATGACTACCCAATGGACTTGAGGAATAGAAGTACAACCAAAGTGGACACAGGCAGGAAGTGCCAAGGGACTCTGCTTCAGCACATCTGCTCACATGGAAATCATAGAATTAGAGTTTGAATTGGGAGGGGCCATCTAGTCCAACTTCCCTGCAATGACCAGGGACACCTACAGCTGGATCAGGTTGCTCAGAGTCTTCCTTGCCTTTCAAACCTCGACTCGTCTGCCAGTGGAAGCAAAACTCGGGATCAAACTGATGGAAGGAGCAATTGGAATACACACAGTTAGTGTAGGACCTACACAATAGCATCTGGAAGGTAAGGCTGTGAGTGTTATGTTAGCTGGAAAAAAAAAAACAACAAATCTAACAGGACTGAGTGCATCTAAATGTCCTGCTCTTTCCCCATCACTGAGCATTTCTTAGTGCCTTATTTTTTTTTGTACCTGTCCACAGGCTGGAAAGCAAAAGGAGAAGAGGGCTGGGCTGTGGAGGAGGAGTTACAAAAATGCACAGACTGCACCCTGGTATTTCTAGAACTGTTGTCACTACAATTATCTATGAGAGGTTTTATGCTGAACTTGCAGAAGTGAAAAAGTCCAGGGAGGAGTAACACCAGGCTTCAGGCAGTCAGGAGCAGAACTCTGAGTCTCTGGAGCCAGTTTTGCCCAGCTGTGATCAAAGACATTGCATGGGGCTGTGAGGCCTGGGAGAAGGACAAAAGATGGGAAGTAGCCGTTCTGCACCAAGGAACTCAACGTGAATCTTTTAGAGAGCTGCCATTGCTGCATCCATCACAGTCAAGGAAAGCTGCAATGAATGAGGAGTCCATAGAGTCATAGAACTGTTTAAGTTGGAAGGTACCCTTAAAGACCATCTGGTCCTACCCCCTGCAGTGAGCAGGGACACCTACAGCTCCATCAGTGCCCAGAGCCCCTCCAGCCTGACCCTGAGTGTCTGCAAGGATGGGGCATCTACCACCTCTCTGGGCAACCTGTGCCAGTGCTTCACTACTCTTATTGTAAAAAAATTCTTCCTTATATCCAATCTAAATCAATTAAGCAACTGGGATTGCAAAGGCCACAACACAAGCACATTTTAACACTGGTGCTGACTGCATGCACATATCAGCTTTTCCAGAGAAATGTATGAAATGTACACAAAAGGCTCTCATGGTACAAAACATCATCTCCCCTGGCTGATCATGGGTGGGCTGCCTGAAAGCGCAGCAGACACAACACGACTGGAGCCAGCCGTGGGTGGGTACTGCTCTGAGGTGCTGGGCAAGAGAAAACATACACATCAAGGCACTGCATTGTAGTGCTTCCCACTTGCTTTTGAGTTTGTGGGAAAAACAGCATGTCTGGCTCACCAGGGCTGCCAGCTGTGCAGGGAAGACTGCAAGGCAAGGGGCTGCTCTCAGCTGCAGCTCTGAAGTATTCCTGGGAATGGGATGGCCCCTTGCTCTCTGACTGGAAAAATCAAAGCTCACAGCTTGGGGCAGTGTGCTTAGTGGTGACATCAGTAGAGAGGCAAAGGGATATTTTTTTACCCCCTAGAGAAGACAGAGAGGAAAAATAAAGGCCAGATCCTTTAAAAAAAAAAAAAAAAAAGAAAGAAAGAAAGAAAAAAAAAGAAGAAGAAGAAGCAAAACCCCTCAAAGATGAATCTTTCCACCCAGCTCCCTTTCAGTTCCTAGCTGGCATAGCTTGTTCTCTGCCATGTGGGAGGATTTAGCATCTATTGACAGATGAGCTAATCAGTTCCCCTCAGCTCTTGAAGCTTTATCAAAGCCAGTTAATCATATTACTGACGTCTGCCCATGCCAAGGCTCTCCACTTCTGTCCTCCGACACCAAGGTGACACGTGTGCATGCCACATGCACAGAGAGATCACTTTTTTCCACTTCCATTTACACCAACAAGAAAATGTCACCAGGGCTGCCTGTCTCTCATTCACTCTCCTTGGCCACTTCTTGTTGCTGTAGATCTGTGGCAGCTCACAGTGGAGCAGATCAGGCTCACGCTCATATCTTGTCAGCACAGGGATGGCAACAGTGGGAAAAACTGGTCTGGGTTTTGGCTGTCCTGTCCTGGAAGGTTCTGATGCCAATCTCAACCCAGACCAGGGCTTGTTGCCAATACCTCTCTCCCGAGGCCTGGTTTGTGTTATTTCCCTATCCCAATTTCACTAACTGCGATACAGACTGTACTGCTCTTCCTGAAGGCTGACCGGGGGCTGTGCTCCTTTCCTCAGGAATGGTTCTACTCACACTAACATTAATGCACCAAGCCAAGAGTGCTGCCTTGTCCTATTTTTTTTTTTTTTTCTTCTGGGAAACTCATTCTGCATTTATACCAGTAATGGAAGAAAACAGGTATGAGGAGCCTTCTGGAATGCTCTTTGCTTCCCAGCAAGGTCACTCGAATTCATGTTATCCAGTGGCCTGTGCTTGGATGGAAATTCATCTTCAATTGGAGATTGTTGGTATTTACTTGACTGTTTTGGTAACTACCACTGTTTCACGGCCTGGCTGGTAAGTGCCTCTGCCCACAGGTATTGTCAGCCATGTCCTCTTATTCAGGCTGCCTGCAGGGACAGAAACCTTGCTCTGAACCCACCACCCTCCCACAGCTCCCTGCACAGCCATGCACGTGGAGAGTGTGGTTCTGCAAGGTGCAAACCAGAGCATGCCATGGTCAAACACAGGGCAGTCCCTGTATCAGTCCCTGTATCAGCTATTCCAGAAAGGCAGGTGTTTCCTCCCCAGTGTTAATCAATGCTTGCCAGCCTCCCCCAGAACTCCCTGTCCTCTTCTTGCTTTGAAGAGAAATTTGTTTCTCTCCGGGCTTGCTGCAAGTCCCTCTGCCAGCCCAGCCAAGGAGATTCTCCAGGGCTACAGAGACTGGCAGAGAGCACTGTAGAAAAGGTGTCAAAAAAAGCAAAGAAGGGGAAGAACAGAGGAGGTTCAATCCAAGAACAGAGCCTCTCCACACCATCTCTTACTCCTCTCTGCAGGTGAGTGGGCAGTCAGCAACCCTGGCCGTGTGCTGTGAGAGGTGTTCACCCACCTATACAGACAATGTCCATGAAGCCATACATTCCATAGCAGATCTGGAAGAGCAGGTCCTGGCGCTGCCATTTGGCTGAAGGACTGAAGGTCGACCAGATGAGCCACGAGATACTGGCGATGAGGAAGAGGGAACCCAGGATGGCCGCTGCTATCTGAACCTTCTCAATGACTGTCAGGGAGATGGCCTGCCACTGCAAGGGATGGCAAGAGGGAGAGGAAGGGAGACAAGGGAAGGGAGGAGAGAAAAAGAGAAGAAAGTAATTACATGATGGACATTGCTATTTTGCTTCATTGCGGTGATTCATGGAAATCCCAAAGATCACCTATGCCTCACATATGTGCACCCTGCACATAGACACTTTTACCTGGTCCACCTTGTGGCTGGACATAAACCTGGCCATCACAAACCAGGACGCTGTCTCAAATGGAGGCCAGGCAGCAGCCTTGGTGATGGCATCCTTTTACCACAAGATTTGTCTCAGACAGCCATGCTTTGCCTTGCAGGTCTCCTGTGAGCAGGCTCCGTGATGCTTGGTGAGATGTGACAGAACCGCAGTACATAAGATCTCATGGAAGCAATACACACCCCACAAAATGTTACCAACGATGAAAGTTGCTGCTGCCAGGACTCCCTGCCTTTAGGTGATGACATGTTCAGGCTGTTTACTAAGGTAAAAGGCAGTGCTTCTTTCTCAGAAGAGGAAAAAAATAGTACTAACTCCCTCAAATCCATTTGCTTTGTCAAATAGCTTTGTATAAGCTACATTATGAATATCCAAAGCCCGAACTCCTCTCTGTCATCCAGAATAAAACCTCCTTACTCAGATTTATGCTACTGAGAGAACTGTCCTGTAAAAACCAAGAGCAGAAATTGCTTTTTCTAACAAGACCTGGGGGGACATGGCCCACAGTGCCTCCTGCAAATCAGAAATCAAATGCGTAAACAGGCTGGGAGAGACGGAAATATATAGGCCACCTTTAGCTGTGAGATACATGCTCTTGAAATCTCAATAGGGCTGGTAGAAGGATAAATAAAGGGGGACTTCAACCTCCTCCAAGTGAAGAGGATTCAGAGGGATTGAACATTTTAGCCTGGATTCGTGCCAAATTCAATGTCCAAGTGAGGTGTCAGCTCTGGAGAGCCCCGAGCACCCTGCCTCTTTGTCAAACACATCCTGGGACACCAGGGGTCATCTGTCAAGCCTCATCACCTTATTTTGTACGGCAAGAAAGCAGTTTGCTCTTTAATGTCCAGACCTGCTAGAGGTCACCAACATTTTTGGGATGCAGGGAGAACTTTGCCCCTTGCTTAAAGGGCAGTAAGGTGACTTGTGCTGCACTATTACCGTTCCAGTTACCAGACTCCTGAACTGCATGCAGTCCCCTGCAAAGTGCTGCTTTGGAAAAGGTTGCATCTGGAAGGTGATCGCATGCCTTGGCTCAGAGGTGAGCTGAAGTGTCTGCCTCTGCTAGCTTCGGTCTTTGGCTTATGTCCTGCAAGGGCAGACAGCCCTCAAGTTGTGTGTCAGGGATGTGCAGCTTCTCTGAGGTGATGGTATCAGCCTGATTCATAGATGACCATGGAGTAGATAGATGACTGCAAAGCTTCTAAGAAGAGACAGAGGCTGTTCCATGCTGAGGCAGTCCTCTACCCTTCCACTAAGCCTGGCAAATGCTGAAGGGATGGGGGTGCAGGGAGCCTTTCCTAGAGCTGCGTGCTATGGTTTTACTGCAGGTTCCTCACATTGACCCGCCGGTGCCAGCAAAATCATTCTGCATCATTTCTCTCTCTCAAGGAGGTAATGGGCTGGCTCCTCACCATCTGTCTGGCACACTGCAAGGCTTGTGGCAGCAACAGGTCCTTCCAAGGTAGCAATTAAAGAGAGAAAAAGGAGGAGATGTTTCCTACAGCTAGCAGCTGCGTGCAACTGCTTTATAGAGACAGGGAGGCATCAGTGTGATTTTAAATACATTATACTTTCAAAGGGGACGTGGCTCAGGGCAGAGAAGCTACACCTGTGTAACAGCTTCAAACCTGCCTTTGGATGAGAGCAGAGATGCTGCAACGCTGACAGGGCTGCTGCCTGGTGCTGGTGGTAACAAAGCAACCCTCACTGTTCAGGGGGTTGCCTTTTGGGGGCAATTATTCACAGGTCAGAGCTGAATGCTGGGGAAAACAACCAGCTCACACAGGAATTTCATTTTTTCCTAATCTCTCTCCATCATCAGTAAGGCCAGCAAACCAGGGATTTAGAGGGTGAAGTGTCACATGTGAACTGTTGAGTGCAGTGAGCTGCTGGCCTGTACTGCAGCATACCTTTAACAACAGAAAGCTGACTCACATTGTCAATCGAGACTGACTTTGGGCAGGTAGAAAGCCCTATAGATGGTGTGCCACTGCTGAACAGGGTGTAACTTGGAGATACCAGGAAGCATTACAGGCTTCTGTGGGATAACAGAAACAGCTTTTGAGTGCTGGGCTCACAAAGGCCACAAAGAGAGCTGAAGCAGCTCTCTGCAATGGCTTTGGCAACCACACTGGAAAAAGGGCTCTTTTTCTGCAGACTGCTTTGAAGATTCATAGAATCACAGAATGCCTTGGGTTGGAAAGGACCTCAAGGATCATCCAGTTCCAACCCCCTGCTGTGGGCTGGTTGCCTCCCACCAGCTCAGACTGCTCAGGGCTCCATCCAACCTGGCCTCTAGCACCTCCAGAGATGGGGCACCACAGCTTCTCTGGGCAGCCTGTGCCTTGCCTCACCACCTTAAACGTCCTAATTCATTCAGGTGTCCTTTGTCACCATTCTCCCCGTCCGACCACTTTGGCACAACACCCAGATGTTCATGTGCAAAACACCATACTCTCTTGGATGAATTTCCCCCAACCTTCCTCAATTTCCCCAAAGTTCTGCGCACCAGATGCCTCAGAAAAGGTTCTTAGGAGCCCAAGTCTGACATCTGCAATGGTCATAGGTAGAGATGAATCTAGGACTGGTGCTTTCCCATCATATCCCATTTGATGTGATCTGTGGTTTGTACCTGGGGCAAGACCATTCCCCTGTTTGCTTCAGTGCTTCTCTCAGAGCCTTGTAACCAAAGCCCCTGCTGCTAATATAACAAAAATTAATAGTCACTAGTCTAGTATTTAGGGTCTGATCCGTATTTCCCTTTCTTTAACACCAGCAGTCTCCAAAGATTCACAAGCATGAGCACGAGCAGATCCAAGGCACGTATTTGCCTGCAGAAGATATCTCTGTCTTAGTGCAGCAGCTTGCTAAGAAGCCTTGCTTGCTAGAAAAGCCTTCCTACACTCCTCTGAGAGCTCTCCCATGCCTGCCTCAGGCAGTTCAGTTTATTTTTATTGCTATATCTGACACGTCCCCTTAGTACGTATCATTAACATCCTGAGTGTGCTACTCAGCAATTTTGTTTCAAACCCAGCATCCCAAACAAGTGGAGGTTTATCCTAGAAGGATGCAGTGGAGCATTCCCATCACTGCTTGGGTCTGGCTCTCTCCTCAGTGCTGTCCTGAGGCCTTGGCTATCCACCTTGATTATCTTTAGGAGAGTACACTTACCAAGCAAATTTGTCCTAAAGCTGTGGTAGCTTCCCTGCTGTACACTTACAGATGCTTTGGTTTATTCAGATGCAAGAAAGAGAGCAGGGAGAAGGAGGGGCCATTCCCAAAGCACTGGAGAGAACCGAGACCACATCCCAACCCCAGCATTCCATAACTGAGGGCCTTTGGATATGAAGAGGCAGGGAAAGGAATGTGATGCAGAGTTGGACTCCTTGAGACTGCAAACAGCAGTAGGTCTGGGAAGGCTAGTTCAAACTGATCTGGTATTTGCTGAAATCAGAGCATCTGAATGAACGTGGCATAGGAGTGGCTACAAAGCTGTATACATGAAACCCACTGCAGAGCCCTGTCATAGCAAGTGCTATCGCATGCTTCCAAAACTGTGTTTTCAGGGTCTCATTAAAATCATAGGCTTTGCACAAACACAGCAGAGCTTTTAGACTCTCTGTGCCCATATCTCCTGCCTCAGGGACCAGCAGAATTACAGCAGGGGACGGATGGACAAAGGCTGTGCACCTCCTGATTGCTCATAGTGGGTGGGAAATTTTTGCTCATTTGCTGCTGCTTGCCAGAACACTTGCCATGTTCTCCAACAACTTTAATCCTCCAGTCTCAGCAGTGTTGCTGCTTTAAGTCTTTTGCTTTAAAATTTCAGCCATCCAGGGCTGAGGGGTTAATTTATAGAAATTCTTTATATCAAAATGCCAGACTGAAGGCTCCTCTCTGCTATGAGACATCATAACAGCCTGGAGGCTTGAAGGAATCTGTGTTAATTATGTATGAACCACGTTCCCCTGACTTCAACTTCTCTGCCCACACCATGCACATCTGGCCCATGCCATACTCCTAGGCTCGCTAGAAAATGTGCAGCATGTGTCCAAATGGGCAGAGAAATAGGCAGATCCTGGGGGGCGTGTGGGTGTTGGGTGTACTGCCTGGCTCTGACCAACTGGAGCGCAGCCATGCTCTGAGCTTCATCTGAACATCCTTCCCTTGACGAGGAGGTGAGTTCTATGTGGTCTTTGCCCATATGATGGTTGGTCTGGAATAAAGGGACGTCCCTGCCTTCCAAAGTCTGTGCTTGAGAAATTCAGAGCTTTCTAAAAAGAATAAAGCTGGGTAGAAATTCCAACAGACCCTGAGAAGAAAAGCCAGGAATTAATGGCTTTGCTAAGAGACATATCACTATGTCCAGGGGCCCCTGCTGACCACATGCAGGGTGAAGACTGAGCAGAAAAGACACACTTCCCACCCAGCCACACTGTGGCATGTTTTTATGGCACATAGTACCAGAGCATCACAGCCTCTCTGCCTTCCTTTTCCAGCACTGGAGAATGGCAAGAAACACCAAGGAGCACAGAGGTGTGCATGGTGATAGGCTACAGGTCTCACATCCCTTAGTCCTCTTGGGAACTCCAGGCTTCATACATGACCCACATCCCTCAGGATTTCACATGCTGTGCTGGTGTAACACCTGCTTCCCAGCCGTGCCTTTGTGCTGACATCAGGCAGGACACTGGGGCACACAGCTGCAGCTCTGCACATGCAGCATTTGTTCCAGATCAAGTGGCTTTTCACTCCAGTTGCTTCTTCCCACCCTCTGCTGATCCATATCTCCCATATTTCTGTGAGAGGCACTGTGAAGTCCCTGCTAGCAGTGAGAAGCCCTCAGAACACAGTCCCCCAGGAACCTTGCTCATGGAGCAGAGATGTCTATCTAGCTCTCTGGCTTGGCTGCCCCTGGCAGTCAGTTTTCATGTTTGTGGCAAAGGTCACTTTCTAACAGGGGAGACAAAAAAAGTGATCCTTCGGGCAGGCATTTGGAATGTGTTTATGGGATGAGAGCTCATTTGTGAATTGCTTCAAGAAATTTTAGCCAAGTGAGGAGTCATAGGAATGTCCTGAGTTGCCCTGAGCCGTATGGGGATGTAGAGTACTTGGAGGTCGTTCGTTAAAGGCTGGCTACACACATATTGCAAATCTGCACCCACAAGCCTTTGACACTGCTCAGCATCGTTCCATCAACCTGAGGCTCATGAAGTATTCGGGCACTTATGGACCAGCTTTCCAGAAATAAACAAATGCTGCTCTGTCCACATATCCCCTGCTGTGTTTCAATCTGGACTGATTTAGTGGAGCCAAGAATCTCAAACACTCTGGGTCTTAGGCTTGGGATGGAACTACTGTTCTCTCCAGGCCGTGGCACAGGGAAAATTGAATTAGAAGCTGCAGGGACTTGCAGAGAGTAGGGATGCTTCTTCCTTTCCCCCAGTAAAATTTCCTCATGATGCCTCACTAATTTTACTACTTCATTTCAACCTGGAGTCCTAAGGGCCGTGCCTCTTTCTCCACTGTTTTTAGTGACCTCAGGCATGAAGAAGGACACACACAGAATCACAGAATCTTAGAATCACAGAATGGCTGAGGTTGGAAGGGATCTTAAAGATCTTCCAGTTCCAACCCCCTGCCATGGGAAAGGTTACCACCCATTGGAAAGGATGACCAGGGTCCCATCCAACCTAGCCTTGAACACAGGCAGCCATTTGGAGGAGAGAACAGGGATTTGCATCCCCCGAGTGCTGTACAATTGGGTACCATCACAGGCAAAGGGTTTGCCTCCTGTTAGAAACAGAGAGATGAACAGAGAGCCAATGCAACCAAGTGCTGGACAGATCAACATTCACACAAGCGTTGTCCTGGTGTCTGAGCACAGCATGCTGCCGCAATGTCTCTCCCTCCACATGATGCTAATTAAGCAGTAGTGCCTGGGTCTAATGTGTTTCCTTATGTCTGAGGCACAAATGGTGCTCAGCAATTAGTCCATCTTCAGGTGTTGCTCCAGCAATAAATCAATAGCTATTAAGGATAAATTATCCCATTTTTAACAGTCAGACAGCTTTCTCCATTCTAAATCTTGATTTTAAATTACTAGCCTGCAGTGGGGTTTAATAAACCGCAGCGCTTTTGAACTCACAAGAGGAAAAAGGAAGATCCTCTGCTGCCTTCCACAGGTACTTACATTCGGATGTGCTCTACCTGTTGTGTGCACACCTGCACACTGAGAATTAAGCCTGGAGAGACCAGAGCACCAGAGCAACCACCTTCAGTGCTGTGCCAGGCTATACTAGGACACAGGGAGCAGTGAAGTGAAAAAGGTATCAAGGTCGGAGAGGAGAGGTAGAAAGAGCAGGGCCTGAGGGATGCCCCAGCACCACCAGTGAGGGCTTGGGGCTCATTGGAGCAGCCCTACAGCCCTTCCTAGGGACCATCGTACAGGGAGGCAAAACCCGTGCCAGTAAAATCTACTTGCTCCCAGAAACAAACAGAGGACTGAGAATAAATAGACTTTGAAATGTCTCTAGTACCTTTACCTGCAGAGGGTTCTTTGTGCTTATGGCAATGACGTGGTACTTGTAGTAACACAGCTCACAGCTCCAGCAGCCTCTCTCGCTAATCCATTTGATCAGACATGGCTGGTGCGTGCATTTCACCGATCCGTCGCATCGACATGGGCTCAGCAACTCCCCCTGGAAAAGAGAGATAGCACCATGAGGCTCCCTCCTCCTGCAGGGCACAGCAAGGAAATCCTGCACAGACCTGGTGCTGGCCAAAGTGCGCCTTCCACCACCCCTTTGCTCTGTGCCCCTTTTCACTTGGTTTGGCTTAGGTAATCGTGTTACTTCCCTGAGGATGCTGGACGTAGCAGAAGACATCCACATCCCATCTGCCTTGGGTCGGGAGGCCAGATCCTGCTCCTCCTAAACCTGGGGGAAAACTGCCTTAGGTTTCAGGGCATCACATCAGAGCTGAAAGCCCGAGGAAGTGAGAGCCATGCTGGGCAAGAGTGATACTTTTTTTTATGAAATCTAATGCAAACACATTAATCATTTCATTTGCTTCAGCTAGGTGACCTAAAAATGTCATCTTCCATGAAATTTCAGCACAACGGTAAATAACTGTTTATGCTACAAAACCAGGCTCAGCCCTACCTGTCAGCCACTTCCATTGCACACTGGAGAGGACACAATGAGAGAGGAGCAAGAAAGGCTTTAGAATCCCCAAACTTTTTAAGGGCAAGCATCAGGACGGTGTCCCACACACCAGGATCTCTGCAGGGCTCCACAGCGTGACTGCGGTTTGGCTTAACAGGCAGCTGGAGGCAGCAGGGATGGATGGGATGGAGCAGAAGCCAACAGTGACAACCTTTGTTAGGTCTCCTTGGTCTCCATAGTAAATGGCTCTATGAAATTCCAGCTGCTCAGAGTCAAGAGATGTCCACAGACATCCTACACAGCAGTGGAGACCTGCTCCTGGTCCAACCTGGTCCTCTAACATCACACTGCTCCAACCCAGACAGCCCTGCTGCCCTTCGCTAGAGCTCAGGGCTGGAACACGGAGATGAAACCCACAGTTTTTGGGCTTTTGCAAATCCAGCAAAACTGTGATTTATCACATTTCCTCCAGCCATGTGAAGTATGATATCCTTGCATGTGGCACACAGCTATTTTTGCATACTGTGAAGCCCAATTCTGTCCACAGCAGGCATTCATAAAACACAGCCACACGCACACTTGCGCACATGTGCTCATGTACCAACAGAAAAAATAAACACTGGGGGCATACTAAAGGCATAAATCCTTTGTATGCAAAGGAGAAGGAGCTTTGTCACTGGCTGTACAGTTTGCTCAGGAACAGTCTCTCAGCTGTGCCCTGAGACATGGAAGTTAAACTCCACGGCCATTTCTGTAGGTTTGTAGAAGACAGCTCTGCACAACTTGCTCTTCAGTGCCCCAGAGAATGGCGTTCCCACCAATGCTCTTTGTCACTGCTCTACAAAGATGCTCTGGATGGAGAAAAAGCTTCAGAAAAAGTGGTGAGGCACTGGAACAGCCTGCCCAGGGAGATGGTGGGAGTGGGCTGAAGGTTGGACTAGATCATAGAATCATAGAATCACAGAATCATAGAATCAGAGACAGATTAGGATTGGAAGGAAGCTCAGAGATCATCTACTTCCAATCTCCTTGCCACGGCAGGGTTGATCTTAGTGGTCTTTTCCAACCTTAATGATTCTATGATTCTGTACTGTCCCCCAGGAACAACCTGCTTTGTTTCCTGTCTAAAATAGGAGCTTGTCTTCAGGAGCAGCAAGGCCAGGCCAGGCTGACCTGGCTTTACTGCAGGAGGAGCATGCTGCTGGAGATGGACTGAAGCTGCTCCCACTCAGTGCCCATTGCAGTACATCAGCGTGATTAAGGATTGCCTATTTTCAGCCTGCTGGGAAGACTTCTGAGAAAGGATGGGAAAAACACTGTTGCCAGTGCATGCTTCTCAAGGTTGGTATATTCAGAGAGAAAATACTGACATCAGGATCAGCATCAGCACTTCTGCATACTGATGTCAGTGTGTTGCCCTGGCCATTTTATTCATCATTTACCAGTGCTGGGAGCCCATCCACATCCACAGGCTGCTTCCAAAGCTGTGATGGCTCACACATCAGCTGAAGGGCATAGGGGTGGGGACAGTTGTGTCATTTGGCCAGGATGAGGTCTCTGGGCTCTCCCAGCCCCAGCTGTCCCAAGCTGCTCCTGGGAGCTGGGAAGAGCCACATGCACACATCCTGCCACCCCAGCTGCCAGAGTATTTTCCTATTTTGGAAACAGCTTACTAACCAGGATGGCTGTTAGTAATGCTTCCTCAGCTGAGCATTTTCCTTGCTCAGGTGTAACAAGAAGGACCAATTGTTGGCATTGCCTGCATGATCAGTGCACTAGAACAGAGCTTATCCCTCCAGATAAGCACAAGTAGCATCCAGTGCTCATAGGAGCAGCTGCACGCATGGATCTGACTGCTACCATTTGTCTGAGTTTGTCTTGTTTGCAAAAGGAAACCAGGAATATTTAATTTTGGGTCTTCAACCGAGTCTTCTAAATACACTTAACTTCACATTGATTTTAAATGCAATGGGAAGTTTTATTATGGCAAATAAATGCCAAATGATTTCTATATTAGGAACATAATTACAGAGGAATTAACTCTGATGGCAAAGAGAAACCCATTGTTAACAGAGCTGGTAAACTCCAATAAATATGTGCTAATGATCTTTCTGTCTTCACACTCACTTACAGGAACCTCCATCCTTTCAAACCTAAATACATGCGTTGCTACCAGCAACTTGAATGCTTTCTGTGCATCCCCTCCTGCGTGTGAGTGCTGTGCCAGCCAGCAACAGACAACAGGGGACACTTAATAGCTACCTCTGTAGAACTGAAGCCACATGTTTCCATCGTGCTTTTTCTCTCAGCCATTATTGCGTGCACTGCATGAAATTCTCCAGCACTCTGGGACACTGATGCTAAGCATGGACCCCACAAAGCTTATGTATCCCAGATGCTGGGACATCACTGGGAACAGTCATAGATGGGTGGCATCTGCCCAGGCCCCAAAAATGGCCCTCAGCCCCACCATTGGGTCCATATGTCACAAATGGTCCCCAGCACCATTACTGGCTCCATAAGCTATGGGAGACTTGCCCTAAAGGCAGACCAGGTGTCTCTTATCATCAGTTTCTTTTTAAAGTAGTTCAAAGGAGCAGAAAACACATTTTCCCAAGATGCAGAGGATTGCAGGTTATTTTTTGTGCAATAGGCTCTGGAGGATGTTAGCACTTCAGTTAAGGCAGAGAATAATTCAAGCCCCATTCAGCTATGAAAGGGGATCAGTGGGAATGCTAAGGGCTGGTTCTGCTTTGGGACAATCCCTGTTGAAGGAAGGAAATGCTGGGTCACCTCCATAGCTGGGAATTGAAGTTAGATGTGAATTTTTGAGTAAGACAGTGTCATTCTCAGGGCAGCCTCATGCACATACCTCCATCCGGTTCCCACCTGCAAGCAGCCTCACCATCCTGCTTCCCCAGCACCAGGAGGCAGGCAAAGGGTCATGGAAATCTGTTGCACAAGAACAACCTCAAACTTTGCCTGAAATAGGGGATAATAAAGGATTTTCAGGAATGACATCTACTTATCTACAGCCCAAGAAGCAGAGAGCTTATAGAGCACATTGGGAATTATTTGCTTCTCCATCTAAAGAAGGATTTCCGCAAGATAAATAACTTTGCCTAGGTGTTCTGGAGCCCACTTCATCCTAATGTCATTGAACTTGTTTTTGATTAGCTGATTTAAGTAATTCTTACTAAATGTTGCTCAGTTGCAAGGAATCAAAAGGCAAGCATCTCAAATATCACCTGCTGTGCCTCATCAGGTGTGATAATAGCACCGATTAAGTGAAGTGCCTTCAATGCAGAGAAATCACAGTGCTGCGCATGTGGAATCAAGATACCTGAATACTTCTGAGCTCTCTTGGGCGTGAGAGCGAGTTCAGCTCCAGACTTGAGCTGAATACAGAGTGGGAGCTGTCTCAGCATCAAGGAGAAGAGGTCTCCTAGTCCATAGCTCCTGGGCTTTCACCCAGTGCATACTGAGGCTTTAAACTTCTGGAGATTTGCTGTGGACCACATCCATTTTGTGAGACGGAATGATCTCGTCTCTTCTGAAAGAGAAATTCACTGTTGTTTCACTCTGCTTCTTCTAATTAAAAAACAAAGTATTTTCGACAATACTTAGATTTACTCTGTATGAGACAGAATAGTGAGCTAAGCTCTGTTCCCATGGATGCTGGGGATAAATCTGATGTGACTCCATGGAGCCAAACAGCTCTTCAGCTCAAATCAAGTGCCCTTAAGTTATGGCTTGTACCAAGTGAAGAGGTTTTCCATTAATTTTTTTATACAATTGCCTTTTTTTTTTTCCTAGTGAAAAAGCCTCAGCTAAATAGAATTTTTCTAAATTTACCATTTATTTTTCTTGGAATAAAAAAGATACCAATTATTGCATATTGTATCTAATCCATTGGGACCTTCACCTTTCTACTTCTTCAATCCTCATCGGATCCATCAGTGCGTATTTTAAAAGTATAAAGTTAATGCTTTCAGCACGCGAGTACCATATAATGCAACTCTTCTCAGAGATGTGCTCATAATTCAGTAAATTGAACTTTCCCTGAGAAGCTGTTCATAAAGATACCCAGCTAATGGCCATTTCAGACAACATTATGCCATCAACCGCTAAGAAGCAGCCATGGAAAATCCACAGAAATGGACGCTGGTTAGATTCTCCAGATGATAGATCCCATTTTCAAAGACAGTGAAACAAACAGCAGTAGACCTTTTGGGTTGTTTTTTTTTTTCTTTTCTTTTTTTTTTCCCAGAAAAAAGCCTCTGGCATGACAGCTGAGAGAATCTCTATTCTGCAATATTTGCCCCTGTTCGACATTAGCAACCTTGAGTGGCTCCCATGCAGGCAGAGGGCAGCATTAGCAGGGAACCAGAGGGTCTGCATGCACTTTAATTGGAGCCCAGTAACAATGCGAAGACAGAAGTCTAGAGCATCTTCCCAGTGTTCCCGGCATCTCTCATCTGGGAACTGGCCTGTGTTGCACCCACAGGTATGCTGGTATAAGGAGCTGCAGTAAG